TTTTTTTTTTTGCCCCCCCCCCTCCTTCCCTCCCCCTTCATCCCTCCCTCCCTTCCCCCTCCCCTCAGACCTGGCCTCCTCCCCATGGCTAAAAGGGAGGACACAGGGCAGGGGGCAACACAGAGACCCCACCGGGGTCCATCCTTCACCAAAGGTCCTCAGTGTTTTGTCACCACCCCTTCCCCCCCCCCCCCTTTTCCCCCACCGTATCCCTTCTGCTGCCCCTGGGGACAGGCAGGGCACACCCTGGGGACACGGAGAGGGAGGGGATGTGACTGGAGGGGGTGTGTGTGGGGGGGGGCTATGTACAGGAGGGCCCCCAGGGCTGCCTTAGCTCTTGGCAGCCTCGCGCTCTTTGCTGTCCGTGTCCTCAGGGTATGCGTGCCAGGTCAGTCTCTCCTCATAAAATGCGATGACAATTTGGGGACATTTCAGATTCGCCTCCTTTGCCAGCACCAGGTCGGCTTCATCCGTGTCCTTCCTGCAGGGATGAAAGGGAATAGGGGGGGTGGGAGAAAGAGAGGCTGTTAAAGCAGCACCCAGCACCCACCGAGCTGCAGCTCTCAACCTTCTGCTCAGACCTTTCTCTAGAAATAACCCCCCCAAAATCCACCCTGGATCTACAGGGAGGGGGGGGGACAAAGCAGCAGACATTCACGTGGGCGGGGTTGGGGGGGGGGACAAACAGCATCCTCACCATTTCATGAGGAACATGAGGTCTCCACAGGAGTCGGTGGCCCCGATGATTTTCTCAGGCTCCAGGCCTCGCTCAAAGCCCCGGGCGATGTCATTGCTCTGTGGATTTGGGGGAAAAAATAGGTTTTTAGGGGTTGTGGTGCTACAGTCACGTTTGGGGGGCGCAGGGAGGGGGGTATAACCCCACTCTGTGCCACTCATAGGGTCACGGGGTTGGGGACATCATCCTGATTCCCATCATTTGGGTGCTTGTCACCAGTGGGGTGACATTAAGGCACCTGTCCCCATCACTGGCTGCCTGTCCACACTGTGGAGATGCTGCATTCCTTCCCCCATCACTGTGTTGGTGACAAAGGTTGCCTGTCCCCATCATAAAGACAATTAGGCTCCCGTCCCCATTGCTGGATTCCTGTCCCCATGAAGGTGAGATTGCATTCCTTTTCCCATCACTGGTCACCCGTCCCCATCATGGTGGTGACACTGAATTCCTGTCCCCAGCAAAGTGACACTGGGTGCCTGTCTCCCATGTTGGTGACACCAGGTGCCAGTTTCCATCACAGTGATGTTGTTTTTCTGTCCCCATCGCTGGATTCCTGCCCCCATCACTGGGTGCCTGCCCCCATCAAGGTGGTGATGCTGCATTCCTGCCCCCATCGTAGTGATGTTGGCCTCCTGTCCCTTCCAATCTCAGGTTATTGTCCCCATCGCTGCATTCCAGCCCCCATGGAGGTCACACTGCATTCCTGCCCCCCACCACTACCTGCCCACCCCCACACCATCCCCCCCCATTCTCACCTCCCTCTTCTTCTTGGCCTTGATATCCTCAGCACTGGCGGGCAGCCCTTTCCTTTTGCCGCTCTCTGCTTTCTCCCTTGCTTTGTTTCCATCCCCTTCCTTCATCTTTTTATACTTTTTCATAAACTCTGAGATAAGCTCCGGGCAATCCAGGTTTTTCTCCGGCTCCCAGGTGTTGTGCTCCCTGCAAAACCATCACCATCACACCACGGGGGGGGGGGCCAACCAAAACTCGCATCAGTCAACAGAGAAAAGAATTTCAAGGGGGGGGGGGAAAACTTACTCAGAGAAGCCTTTCCACTTGAGCAAATACTCCACCTGACCCTTCACCACTCTCCTGTCCAGCACTCTCTCCACCACATACTCCTCTTCGTCTTCAGAGGACGAACTGTCTGCTGTCCTCTTGCTTTTCTTGCCCATAGCGTAGCACGGGGTGCCCACGCACCGACGCGACCCAAATCCTGGGGGAGGTGAATGGACAACAGGTTAGCATGGACACCCCTCTCCTCCCCCCCCCTACAAGCTGAATTTGGGGTTTAAAAACACCAAAAAAACACCAGTCGGCAGCAGAGCCCCAAAACACCCGCAGGAAACATCCGAATTCACAAAAGATTTGCTAAAATATCTCAGCCAACCCCACTTTTTCTCCCCCTCTTTTCAGGGAGTTTTAAATGCAACAGGGGGGGGGTTAAAGCCACCCCAACACCACCACCATTTTTGGGGCTGAATTTGTTCTTTATTGGCACAGCTTCTAAGCGTTGAATTCTCTCAACTGTGGGCCCAGGTGTTGGCCTCACCAAAAATAAAATAAAATAATCACTTTTAAGGCGAATCCCACAGCAGGGCACGCAGCCAGGACGTGTTGTTGTAACCTTGGGTTGAGTGCTTTGCTTTTAATGCATGCACACACACATCTATTATGATTTTTTTTTTAATTTTTTTTTCAGATTAAACCCCTAAAGAAAACGGAGCCTGAGCGAAAAAGCCAGGAAATTCCTCATCCACCCCATTCCCTGCTTGGTATTTCCTGCTGCTGCCCAAAGCCAAAAGCATCACTCCCCCCAAAAAAAACCCATCTAACCCCTCCCCTGAGACGGTGTGATCTTTTGGCAATGGTTTTGGGTGGAAAAGGGGGGGTTTTGGGGAGAAAAAACCCAATGCCCCCAGGCTGCTGCATCCCTTGGAGGGGCAGCAGTTCCTGGGAAGGCCGCGTGTCGGAGTCCTTTCCTGGAGGAACAAAAGAAAAGAATGGGGCTGGTTTGGAAAGGGAGGTTTTGAGGTGAAAAGGGAGGTTTTGAGGCAAAAAGAGGCGGCGTGAACTTGCTTTGCTCTCCCACCCTGGGGTGGGTAAAGGGATTCAATTAAACTCCTCTGTTCTGATGGTTGGGGGATGCGGACAGAGAGAGTGGCAACCTAACAGCTCCCCAAACCAAAACACAGTTTTTAACCCCAAAATGGCTAAAAAGCAGGAAAAAAGAAAAAAAAAAAAGGAGCCAAGCAGAGCTGGCTGCTCCTGTCCTGGGAAACCCAAAACGCTGAGGGTTGGAAGAAAGGGGAGGGGATGGGAGGGGGGGGGTTGGAGCTGGCGCCGCGACGCCACAATGATGGCCCCCCCGGAGTGATTTATGGAGCCAAGCAGGCGGAGCTGGGGGCCCTGGGAAAAGGCAGGAACAACACTGAGAGCTGCAGCGGACAGACGGACGCGGCCGTGGGTCCCAGGGGATC